AATACTTCAGAATTAAGTGCAAGTATACAAATTGTGATTGGTATTGGTAAAGACTGCATAACTAGTTTTAAATATCTCTTACAGTTTAATTTGTTATACAAACAATACAATATTATCAAGACTATACAAAAGGCCAAAATACAGTTATTATGACTTAAAGTCAATTATGAGCTATTAAAATCAGCTCAAATACGAATCAATCTGAGCAGTTAATTTTGTACAACATTTCATGCAAAAACATTATTCGTAATTAAAGGCGAAAAAAATTGACTTGAATTGATGAAGACGTGAAATAAAATTCTATGCAAGAGCAGAAGATGATATTACACGAAAATAGCATCAACAGAAGTAATACTCAGCTCACAAATTCGAGATCCAGACTACTGCTTCTCTCAAATTTTCTTCCTTAAATCCTCAAATAAATATATACACTATATCTATTTAGCATTTATTATTTTTCTTACTTTCAAAGTTCATACCATTGACTAGTAACCAGTTTTACGTTGACGTTTATTAATTTTATAAAATTAATAAACGTCAAACTTTTTTACGTAAAACTTTACATGTAAAATTTATTGATAAAAATTTTAACTAACAAAAATTTGTAAAAAAAACAAAGCAATTCAAAAGATATAATCTAAAGTATTGACTTCAAAACGTTACGTTTACAAAATGAAAGCAAACTTTTGGAGAACAAAAATCACGGATGAGTCAATTTTATTTGATTTGACATCCATATTTATTTGTCCTAAAATAGATAGTGTGATCTGATTTGAATGTAATATAAAGTAAATAATTCAATATGAATTAAACAGTCTTACATTATATCGATGCATTAATCCAAAAATACTTTGCTCAAAGCCCGATTTCTGAGCTTTGTTGCTAAGCTCATAAAGAAAGAAAATTCAGTTTTGAAGTCAAAATCACTTCCCAAATCTTTTTATCAAAATACTAAATTAAAGTTTAATACTTAAAAAAGAAATTATTAAAAAGTGATTTTAATTTCTGCTCAATTCGATCCTTTCAATTTCAATAGAACAAACAAACGTGTCAAAGATCATCTTTTTCACAAATATTGAACAAAAAAGTTTAAAGCACATACAAATTTCAAATAATTGCTTTCTAGTAAAAATTGAAAGACATTAAAAAATATATGCAAATAGAAAGTAATACAAACTATGTAAATATGATTAATTAGACAAAAATTTGGTTAAAGTAAACAATCACAACAAAAGTCAAACTAATTTTTGGTAGATGCAATTTTGAAAAAACAAAGTTTGTAAGCAGATAGCTATAAAAATTAAAAAATCCAATAAGTATTATATTTTTATGAGTTCAAAGGTCAAATAAGGGTATTACAATGTAATTAATCTGAATACATAAATAGCTCTTTTAAGCTTACATACTTGAGTATTAGTTCAGATAATAATTGTGTAATTAATAATTCAATTTAACTAACAAAAACAAAAATGATAACTTTAACTATTTTTACTTAGAAGCAAGTAGTAAAAAGTAATCAGTGCACATGTTGATCAATCCTTCTTCTTTACTTTTTTTTAAAGAAAAAAACGAACATTCACTTTAATTGTCTGAAAGTTAATTTTGCATAGATGATAACAATTGCATTCATTTTGCTTGTTGATTAGATTTATTTGAAGCAAAAAATTGCAAGTTGAGGAATTAAAAAAAAAAAAAAACGGGATTCTGATTAATCAATATTTCATCAAATACTAAGATAAGCTAATTAGTTAATTAGATTAGCTAGATCAGATTAAGATTAATATATTAAAGCAAGGTAATTAGTCAATAATTAATTAATTCTTCCATTATTTATTCATTTTTTTTAGTACAATAAATGGCACAAATTTTATCAGTTGTTTGACTTAACTACTGACTAATTACTTTGCTAATTACCGATTACTGACTAATTACCTTGCTGTTAATTTTATTAATTAACTGTTTAAGTACTTAGACTATAATTTTTGTCTATAAGTAAAATGCAAAAGAATTTATGAAGCATTAAGGAAAATACCAATTTTTGTTTTCAGTAAGTAATTTAAAAGTAAGTTAAAATGAAGTCAACAAGTGAGGCGTATATTTTTCTTGCCAAAAATGATTAATTTTCAACTTGTTTCGTGTTTTTTTTTCCACAAATAAAAGTTAGACAAAGAAATTTCATACGCAATTTTTTTTAATTTTTATATTTTCTTCCAAAAATTTTTGAAAAATCAAAAAAAATGCATTTTAGTGCATTTTAAACTTAAATTATTTGTAAAAAAAAAAAGATGACTTAATATTTAAATCGAAACTTGTTGATTTTCTAGCTGAAATATTGATTATTAGTAAGTAATAAACTTTTAAAAACAGGATGTTTTTAAAAATTGTGCTAGCTCGAACATTGATTCATAATATAATTGATGATTCAGATTGCAATTGTGAAGTGTATCTGTTTTTACTAACAATACTTTTACTTTTACTTTCAAATCACTGCAAAAATAATTTTGACAATAACAAAATACACAAAAAATTAACAAAATATACAAAAATTTTAATAAATACAATTTCCGTTAGTTATCACCTTAATCCGCTAGTTATCACGTCAAGTCCTTGCATTGAAAAATAGCTTTGCTAACAAAATATAATAAAAGTAAATTCTTGTGAATTTGCTTGTGATCGTTGATTGCTGTTAACTTTGAACTTAAAATGAATATATGTCAATAATCATTATTATTGAGCAGTTAGCTTTTTTCTAAAGTCAAAAAATTATCCTCAGATAGATAAAATTTGATTATAGTCATTTTCATTATCAGTTTGTATCAGTGATTATTTAATATTGTTAATTTTCGTTCAAAAATTGTTAATTTCTGGTTTTAAATGAATCCAAATCACTATCGTTTTAGATTGTTTATCACTCATATGTATTGCTGCAAAATCAAAATATTGCTTTGCTAAATTATCAGTATAAATAAAAGAACTAAAAATTTCGAAAATAATAAAGATAATTTTAATTTAATTATAATTAATAAAATAACAAAAAAGTTTCTCACAATATTGTATTATTATTTAATTAATGAAGTCAATTTTGCTTACGATACGAACAAATGAATAATGCTCTTTTGATGTCAGAAAAGGAACAGTAGACATTCTGATCAGTGATGATTCTGTGTGCAAATATTTCAATATTTGTCGCAACAAATTACTTTCATTAATTCTAATTTTTTTTGTTTTGCAGTCATTGCCAATAAATTTTATTTACTTTCTGCGACACATGCGAACTTGGATTACTCATTCTTCAATCTTACCAATTTCACATTCAAGAATCTCAAGTAATATCTTTGTTGATATAAAATAAATTAGCTTTGATCAATTCTCACAATTGATGATTCTGTTGGATAGAATAAGCTATTGGATTCTGATCAGCTGGAAACTTTGAACTCATGTTTAGACACACTGCTACCAGTAAGGTATATTCTTGCACCAACAGCACTACTCAAAACTTATTTCAACTCCTTTTCCGACTAAATTTGCATATTTATTGATCTGTCTGCACTTCGTCTTATTCAGCTGGACGATTTGACATTTGCAAGTATACACTACAATGATTCTTAATTTCCTGTTATCTTTCATTCATACATTAGGCTGTACTTTTGTGTTGGATACAAAAAAATGTAGATAACAAAGATTAAAATTGTTATACTCATATTTTACGTTGTTTCTGGATGTCTGCACTCAATAATCTCTTGTACTAATATAATTCATTGCACTATACGACTTATGTGACCGTCACGTAATCAAATGATAATACGGAAGAGAAAAAATATAGCAGTGATTCCTCACTTAGCTCTTTCAATAAAACTTATTTGGCAACCTTAATACATAATATGGAATTTATCACAGACCATCTAACATCCACTACGTCAGAACACATATTCAAATTATGACTAAGAATCGAATTAATGGTTCTGTATAGTAGGGTATTTAAGTAATTTTTAACTCAAAAGTGACTATTTTATTCTTAGTTGCATTCTAAGGCGTTGAAGAGTTCCGTACAGAATTTTCTGTTCGTGAACAATCTATTGTTAATGAAATGCGAGAGTCACCAGGGTCAAAAGAAAGATCCGAGAAGAACACTTTCCCTTCAGAATTAATGGTGAAATAGAAATCTTCACTGCTATTTTCAATTCATTATGCACGTTGTATTACAACCTTTACTTTAGTTCTTTTTGATCTTCATCTTCTCTGTTTTGATCTAGCAGTGAAATGTTTGTCAAAGGTGATTAAACTAAAGTTGGAAGTTTCGTCTGTAAAGTTATACAAGGATAAACTCAAGCTTACAGATAACAGCAAAATTGAGGAAACCTTTCGGTCTAAGGATCAACAAATGCAATTTAATGGTAAGTATGCACAATTATCCTATTTCTATTGCATTGTTCAAATAACTAAATGCAAACTCTAAATCAAGCGGTTAGTTCAATCAAAATTTGTACAATATTTTCAGGTAACGCTTGTAGAGCCACATGGTGCATCGGTAGGACACGTTAGCGTGGGTGACCACATCGTAGCGATAAATCACCAGGAATTGAAAACAGTCAAGGACTTGAATGAGAAACTTTCTGGAAAAGAACAAGTAAAGACCCCCTACTTGAAGTTATCCTGAAATTATTCTGAAAACCAAAATACGAAATAAAATGATAAATTATCGTAACCGAAAAGTTAAGTTATTAGAAATCATATCAATAATTACTTGTAGTATGAGTAATATCAAATTGCAGGAAGCACTCGTTACATTAAAACGTTCTAGCTTTTCATGTTGCAAACATATGTTAACAACTGTTGAAACTTTAACTGTTGAGAAAGATAGCTCACTAAAAGTAGTGAGAGCCATCGAAGTGTACAAGGTATGTGTACATTTATTTTCTACTCACATATTCATTTCTAATCACAAGTATTCAAGTAGTGGGAAAAAAGAAAAAAGTTCAATTCATTACTGGATATTCTTATATTTGGAATTTGTCTGGATTTAGAATGTAAAACGTTTAATTTCAAAGTGACTAACAATATGCTAGATCCTGAAATGAATTTAATCATACAAGTAATTATTCTCGACCATCTAACATTTAGTTTCTTAATCAATCAAAGTTGATACTTGACCACTTGCTGACACTCACTACAGAAACGTTCCCAGGTATTAATTCATCTAGAATCATTCCCGGACGTAGAATTAAGTCAGGAATTGGGTTTATCAGTGAAGTATGACAACAAAGAGCAGTTACAAGTAGCGAGTGTGATTCCAGGAAGTTTGGCATCAATACATCTACGACCTGGCGATATTATTAAGTTAGTCTTTTCTTTTATTCTACTCATAAAGTAATGAGAAATAGAATAATCAATAAAAATGACAAATCTATAAGGCAACAAGTTTCAGACGGATAAATGGCGAAAACGTATCAAGCAAAACTATGTTTATTTTTTGGATAAGACATGGATTAGAAAAGAATAAACAGGTAGACTATCAAACGGTCAAATTTGCAAGGCTGCTAAAAATTCGTTTTTCATATTTACTAGACATTAGTTAATCTGCAGATCTGTCGATACGTGAAAAAGGTCTCTTGCAATACATAAAAAACATAAACGGAACC